CCCTACATTCACATGATAGAATAAAGACATCTAGTCTCTTTAACCATGGGAAGTTAACACTTTTCCTCCTTTCCTTTGCTATCCTGGGACTTTTTAGGTAAGTCTGTATCTCTTTTTCAGATGATTTTAGGTCTTTTAACTGGGTCTTTAATGTCTGCACTCTATGGTGGAAACTAAAGGCTTGATGGCATGGAAGTAGAGAAAGTAATGTCAGACACCAGAAGTTGCATGGGAGGAGTGTGGGGAGGGGGTTGGGAGAAAATGACGAACAGACACAGAAGGTATATAAATAAGGGGAATGGAGTCTGGAATGGTAGACTACAAGAGGGAAAACATGTTAATGAAAGAGAGGTATTTCTGGGACCAGCAGTTAGCGTAATGGCTATGTCACTGGACTCCCACATAGACAACCGCAGTTTGAGTCCCGGACCCGGTGGCTTAAACTCACGCTGGGCGCATGTGCATGCGTGCCCGAGATCCCGAGAGGAGAATGGATTGCGGCGTGACCATCCCCCCTGGGGGGTGATTTCTCGCTTTCTGTCTCTCTGTCTCTCTCTGTCAGTCTGGCGAGCGCATGCACCCTATAGCAAAAACCTCTCCCCCTCCCTCCCTCCCTCAAAAAAGAGAGGTATTTTTAAAGTAGAGATTGAAAGATGAGTGACTGTTTCTTTCCTAGGGCAAAGAATGACACAAATATAAATAAGGATTTTACCAAAAATGGTTACTTTTGCCAAGAAAAATGGTGAATAAACCTGTACCAGTAGTGCTTTTGTTAGTAATAACTAGAAAGTGTTTTCAGTCTATTAGGGAAAAATTATATTCTCTAAAGGGTAAATTAATTGTTCAACTTCTGTAGTGTCAAGTTTTGGTACTGGGTACCCTCGATTGCTGACTGACAGAATAAATTTAGAAAATTTCAAGACATTGAGGCTAAGAGCAAAAATCTGGTTAACAAACATTCTATATCTGTGCAGTTCGTCACTCTCCAAAGTGGAAGCACATTGACAAAATATCAGGAATATATGAGTTAACTATTTCCAGAAGGAAAAAAAAAAAGTAGTCATGTTCCTTTATTCTTTTGGGAAAAAGTTATATAAACATTTCAACAAATAATGTTATAGTATTCCAAGCAAATGTTTTGCACAAAAGTATCCCCCCTTCCTGTGTATTTGTATCAAAATATTGATCAAGTATTCCAGATGTGATCTGCTGAAGCAACACTGCATATTCAGTTCACGGGTTTTTTCTGAACTTAGACTATATTTGTACTATGATCTATGCAAACTTGTGATAAAAATGCCTGCCTGTTACAAAAATTTGGACTCATGGTTTCTGCAAATGCATGTCTGAATAAAAGCTGTCGATAACTATTCATCAATATGTTTTACTGGTCAGTTATTTTTTTCCAGCATATGCAGTTCCTGTAATGTGTTGTGATAATGCTGGTTTAAAATAGCGATGGTTCCAGTCAGTTCACATTAACAGTAAACAAACAGATGGCTCGCTAAAGGATGGATCTTCTTTTCCAATAACCCAAATATGCCAAGTAACATACTTTTATAAATATGACCACTTTTAAAAATTACTTTACAATTAGCTTAGAATAGTTGCTCTACTTATTTTTAAACTATAATTTTAAGTGAAAGTTGTTAGAATGTTCAGAGTGAAGACAAGATTAAAAGTACTTTGTCTACTGACTTATAAGTTAAGGGAGAAGGAAAGAGACAACACATCATAGCTTAACAGTCATGAACATCATCAGAAACTTGTGTAAAAACTTCATAAATAAATTTTTCATAAATTTTCCTACATAATTAGATTTATTGAATGCTGATAGCTGGTGTATGCTATAACTGAAAAGGGAATGTGTGAAGAGAAAAAAATGCATTCTGTAGTATTACAAAGTGATTTCAAGAGGTTTAATGAACCACACATATTGCATAATGTGCATATCCAACATTAAGTGAAGGCATTTTCAAGAAATATGTAGGAATAGTGAAGGCTTATAAACTCAATCCTCACTAAAATCTACTAAAATAAACAAAGTGGGTAGGAACTTGAAGAAAAGGGAATGGTTTCAAACCGATACCACAAATTATACAGATTATTTTTAGGAACAGTACAGGCTGGACAAAATTGAAAGCAAACACTAAAATCTTACATTAAATCATCTTTCTAAACATCTAAACATCTGAGTTTCTAAAACTACTAGAGGAATGTATATTTGAATTTCCTTTCAGAATAACAACTTGGCATTCTATTATTACAAGTATTTAAAAATATACATACCTAGTAATTTCACTATATGGAACTTGTCTTAAGAAAATTAAACAATAGACAAAATAAATTATAATAATGTTCCCTCCAAAGTTTATTAAAATAGTCCCCAAATTAAAACAAACTCAATTACTTACTTATGTATTTAACATATGTTTATTGAGAGCCTGCTAGGTGTAGGCATTATCAGTAAACCAGGCAATGTCCCTGTGTTCATAGTGTTCATGTTCTGGAGTGTGAGCAAGCAATAAACATGAGGTTATTAGGTACTTTATACTATCAGGCAAAGAGGTAAGTCGTTATTTTAACAATGTGATCTGAGAAGACTCCACTAATAGAGGTATATTTGGACACAGACTTGTGGAAGATCTAGATACATGCCCCCACAGATTCCTTTTCTTCTTTTTTAAAAAAATTATTTAATTCCATTTGTTACTATTATTTTTTAATTTGACTAGAGAAAGAGAAAGGAAAAGAGAGAAAGCAAGCCACCAAGACTAGGACTCAAACCACACTCAGCCATGTGGGAATCCAGCATCCTTAACCACCACGCCACCTGCTGGCCCCCTTTTCTTCTTTTTTTAAAAAAATTTGCCAGAGGGTATGTGTACTTGACAAAGACAGAGAGACGGAGCAAAAACACCTCCAGTGGGGTCATGGTCAGGCAGCAACCCCTTCTTCCATTCTCCATCCCGTCAGGATTTTGAACAACCATGCACATATGCCAGGCATGTTTATAAAGCCTCCAGGTGGAAGATTCAAACTGCTTGGTTAGCCATGTGGATTCTGGCTCCCTTAACCACTAGACAGGTCCCTTTTCAAAGAATGGACTTGTTATTCAGCTAAGCAACAACCTTACTTATTTTGGTCCCACTTTGATTCTTAGCTCTAAGCAATTAGCTCTGTGCATGGCTAATAGTAACTCAAAACCATCAAGATACTTCTATTGAGAAATCGAAACAACTTTTAGAACAGCAGCCCGCCCCGCCATCAGAGCCATGGGCGCCATGAACCACGCTTCCCAAACCTCCTTCACTCGCGCCAGCGCCGGCTCTCCCCCGAACTATGAGATGCTCAGGGAAGAGCACGAGGTGTCTGTGCTGGGGGTGCCCCCGCCCGCGGTTCCAGTGACGTCCACCGTGATCAACATCCGCAGCGAGACCTCGGTGCCCGACCACGTGGTCTGGTCCCTGTTCAACACGGTCTTCATGAACTACTGCTGCCTGGGCTTCATCGCGTTCGCCTACTCCGTGAAGTCTAGGGACAGGAAGATGGTGGGCGACGTGATTGGGGCCCAGAACTACGCCTCGACCGCCAAGTGCCTGAACATCTTTGCCCTGGTCATCGACATTATTCTGACCCTCATGTTCATCATCCTTTGCATCGCGGCTCCAGTAATAATTGCAGATATGATTCAGCTGATGAAAGAGTCTTTCCAACGCTCATAGTCAATGACCATGGCCTACAGCCTTGTCCACCCCCACTGCTGGCCTGTCCCCCGGGTCTTCGGGCCTGTCCCTTGCTTTATACAGCCGCTTCTACTCGCTCTGACTATAGTAGGATTCAATAAAGTGCAGGAGTTTGTAAAAAAAAAAAAAAAAAAAAAAAAAAAGGTACTTCTATTAAAAGATGGTTAGTTCAATGTTATGTAGACTTAGAATACCTGGGCAACATGAACATGAAAGACCTGCACCTTGATGTTCTATTATATTATATTTTTCTTTGGGCTGTGTTTGCTTATGGGCTCAGTCATAGACCTTTTCTAGGATTTTACCCAATGCACTGAATCACTGTAATAACCAGGAGGTACCTCTCTGGTTAGCCCTTGGACTGCCCTATTTCCTTTCCAGAGTGACTAGCTTTACCTTTATAGTTATTCAGCCAGTGGTCTCTGGTTTTGGACTTTGGGGAAGCAGCTCTCTGGGCAGTAGAAGTTGCCTTGTAAGATGACTTTCTATCAAATACACAACCTTCTCTGACACTGCAAGGGGCTATGTAGTTCACCTATTTCTCACAAAGTGACTAGTTTTTTTTTTTTTTTTTTCTTTTTATTGTCTTATTTAGAAAACCACTCTAAAACTCTGTTGGGTTTTTAAATGGCTTGATTTCTTACTCAATCTTCCAAACTCTTATATCATTCTTATATAATTCAGATATGTTAGACATAAATAACATAAAATTAATCAATGTTCATTGAGTCCCTAGTACATCTAAGACACTGGGCTAAGTAATTAGGGACATACCAAAATAGCATAAGAATTAGGATTCATTTTTAATTAGCCACAATGTAGTGGAATATATCCAAACAGAACCAGCAATTTCAAGTTGTATAGGAAGGAACTCTTCCACTGGGACAGTAATGACAACCGGTTACCTAATTTAGGGTCAAATGTGAAACATGTAGTTGGAGTTTTACTGTTTTTCTTTGTTTTGTTTTACTTTGCTTAAATTGGCCAAGAAATTTGAGCAATTTTATGTTCCACTGAAAATTAGTAAATTTGAAATTCATCACTTTCAAAACAACAGCAACAAAAACTAAGCCTAACAAGACCAACACAGGCAGGAATCTATTATTTATAATTAAAAAAAATAATGACCTGGTAAGTGAACCTAATATGTTTTGACTGTTTCAAGTGATTATTAATCAATATTTCTGCCTTTATAAAAAGTTCTAGATGGAGAAGATTCCTCAGGGCTCCTGGTAACTAGTCATTGCAGGGGACAGGAAAAATGAAGATTTTCTACCGATAATTCAGCCTCCAGCAAGCAAAGTTAGTGTGGCGAGAGAGTTGAGGCCTTCAGAAGAAGATTCCTCATGGCTCCTGATGGATCTAAGGGCATTGTAGCTAAACATTCAAATACTATTAGGGTTAACATATTCCTCAACATCTACTGAATCTGCTGCACCAGCGATCACAACACAACGGCAAAAAAATTCTTGATCCCCTCTTTCTGCTTGCTCCTGAACACTCTGATTGAACTTCAAGAATTCAGAAGAAACACACCATTCATCAGGTGAGAAGAAATCACCGCAGGACCACAAGAAATATGGGAAAGCAAGAAAGTACCTCTCCTCCAAGGGAAAAAAATAACTCCTCTTCATCTACAAGCAGTTCAATGCAAATCGTGGAAATGTCTGATAAAGAATTTAGAACATTCATAATGGCGAAGCTAACTGAGATGAAAGAGAAGAGAGGTAATGAACTGCTAAAAGAGAAAGGAGAAAGAAGTTGATGAGTTCCAGGAGGTGAGGAAATTCTTGCAAGATCTAAAAGAGGAATT